TGTTGCTCTCGTCTTTACCTATCCATACCTCCCATATCTAGTCTGTGGAGTTGAAGATTCGGGGCGTGCTCTTCATCTTCCTCTCCAGAGCGTCAACCTTGACCTCAATCAGGTTGTCTTGAGACGATCATCTATCACGTAGCCTCCTTGGTGATCACCCGCCCTCGTCCCGAGTCAATACAATGGCACCCATCACGTCATTCGTTGCGGTTGCTGCCGCTGGCGCGGCTTTGTTCTCGACAGTCGCGGCTCAATGCGCGAATCTCACCCCCGTCGCGCAGCCCCAGTTGGCACCAGGGTATTCCTCCAAACTCATCTTGAACGGGCTGTCGAGGCCCCGCAGTCTTCAGTTTGACACTCTGGGCAACCTGCTCATCGCCGAGCAAGGAGGCACGGGTGTGAAGTACGTCAAGCTCACAGACAATGGCGGAGTGAACGTCTGCGTAGCTTCTCAGAAGACACTCATCTCCAATGCAAATGTAGGAAGTCCAGTCATTCCGTCTGCATCTCCATGACAGCGTAGCAGCTAACCCCTCGTCTAGCTCGCTCACGGCTTGGCCCTGTCTGCTGACGGCAAGACCATCTATGCGGCTACGGCATCCGAAGTGTTTGCGTATTCTTACGACGCTGCTGCCGGTACTGTTGGGCAGGCGAGGTCCATCATCAACGGCATGACGCAGACCGGCCACCAGAGCCGCACTTTGCTGATCCCCAAGGACAAGCCAAATGTCTTGCTCGTTTCTCGCGGCTCCGCTCCAAATCTTGACCTTCCAACTGCCGAGGCTGCGTCCGGCCGCAGTCAGATCCGTGCCTTTGATCTGACAAAATTGACGGGCAGCCCCGTGAATTACACAACGGGAGAACTGTTCGGATGGGGACTGCGTAACAGTGTTGGTGTTGGAGAGAACCCGTTGGATGGAGGCATTGTAAGTGCTTGCTGCATACTTGCAGAGACTCTAGCCAGCTAATGTTCTGTCAGTGGTCCGTCGAAAACTCTCTGGATAACATGGACCGCAACGGCGTGGATATCCACAATGATAACCCGGGCGAGGAGCTGAACTACCACGGCAGCTACAGAGCGGCGTCGAACCCGCAGAAGGGCGCAAACTATGGCTACCCCAACTGCTTTGCCGTCTGGGAGACCAGCACCGTCACGGGCGTACCCAATGTGAAAGTGGGAAGCCAAGTCATCCAGGGCAATGCGTCTGGCAGCGTCACAGACCAGTACTGCCAGACTGTTCCCACCCCACCGCGGCTCACTTTCCAGGCTCACATGGCGCCGCTGGATGTTAAGTTTTCCCCAAACGGATCATCTGCATACATTTCCTTCCATGGCAGCTGGTAAGTACTTCCGGAGTGTGGACACAGTACAGACAAATGTTGACGCTCTTGACAGGAACCGCTCTCCTGGTGACGGCTACCGCCTCAGCAGAGTCGACTTTGGTGCCAACGGACAGCCGCTTGCTGCGTCTACCAGCAAGACGGCCGAGGTCAAGGTCGCGTGGAACGTCAACAACGCTGTTTGCCCTGGAAGCTGCTTCCGCCCCGTTGGTCTTGCGTTTGACAAGAAGGGAAGGTTGTTCATGCTTAGCGATTCTACCGGCGAGCTATTTGTCCTTACGGTGCCTGCTTAGAATTCGGGTAAGCCGTGCCACCGTCACAATTGAAGACGGGGTTGGAGGGGTTTATGGCGGAAGTTTGGTGGGCTCTTTGCGAGGAGATGGGCGCGTTTGAAGGGCATTTCTTGTACATAGTTATCTTAGCCAACCTGGCAATGACGAGATTTTGACAAAGCATTCGGATAGAGATGCTGATTGACAAGGGGAACGCTGTGTGTCAAACGAGTCAAACAAAACATTTCCTCCCAACGAGGTTCCCCGAGGCACAGACAAGCGGGGAAGTTCTGACTGTACAGAGCCCTGGAGTACCTAGCTAAGTACCAATTAGTGGTTGCTGTGCAGCAACGCAGAGCTCGACCCCTGCCTCGGGCCGGACTTTGAGTGGGCCAAACGGGGGTCTCCCAGAGTCCAATGGGCGCGTTGGCTATCCCGTTTTGCACCCATTTGGGGAAGGCGCTTTCTGTGCCGCCCACGCCAGAATCCGTGTTTCCCGCGATGATGTGCGCCAGGTAGGCACGACAGGCACAAGCGGAAGCCTCTAGTTCAGTGGACGGATAGGTGACAGGCAGGCGCAAACTGCGGGTGGTGTCGCGCAGACGCAACTAATGGCACAGCGCTCCAATCACACGTCGCGCTGCCCGCCCTTCAGTCTCACCCGTCCCGTCCCTCCGTGCCTTCCATCCATCCATTCTCTTCCATCCCTCTGTGCCTCTCTCGACTTCCACCTTTTCTCTCTCTCACCCAGCAGCCTGACTAAGGAACTTGCTCCCGCATTCTTTCCAGGTGGCACTGAACCATCGTATCAGACATTGACTTTGCCATTTCTCGTCCCGTCATTTCAAAGCCATCTTTGCGGTCGATAGACGAAATTACCAAGCGACATTTGTTGGTCGCCGTTTACTCGACGCCCCCAGCCAAGCGCTCGGAATCTGTCTCAGGCTTTGCGACGCTGCAACGTCGGAGCCAAAGCCGTTCAACCCAAGAACGCCGACGCGCGCGCGCTGTTTGGCACGATTTCTGGTGCTAGCCTGATCCTTTCGTTTTCCTCAACGTCTTTGCGTGCATTGCACATTGCAAATCGCACCCCTCATCGTCACTTGGCCGCGCCATCCGACAAACGTCTGCGACAAATCCTCAACAGCCGTGCAGCCCTACGAGCGAACGACCGACCGTCACTGCGTTCCTGCAGGCAATTTGCCTTACGACTACACATGCGAGTCTAACCATCGCGCCACGGACTATACGTCATCACGAAGTACCTTAGTTTCCGACTAAAGGCACAGCAATGCCCATCCTTCCTCGCCAAACCACCACGGACGGTGTCGTCGTGGTCCCCGCCACGTACGGCGGCTGGTCGAGCCTCCCCGCTGGCGCGATCGTGGGCATCACCCTCGGCGCCGTCGCCGGATTCCTGCTCGTCCTGTGGATGATCTACACCTGTCTCAACTTTGGCCGGCCGGTCGAGGCCTCATCGTCATCGGTATACACCGGCACCGCGTCAGTCGTCTCTGTGCGGCGGCAGCGATCCAAGAGCCGGCACCGGCACCATAAACACCGCAGCCCGCGGGCGAGGGTGATTGCGACGGAAGAGGTGCGGGTCAGAGAGAGCGTGAGTAGGCCGCCGCCGGGGCCGGGGGGCGGCGGTCCTATTATTGTTGACGCGGCGCCGCCGCCGCCGATGCAGGAGCGGCGGAGCTATAGTCGGGTACCGCCGCCGAGGGTCGTGACGGATGACGAGGAGGATGAGGTGGTTGTGATTGAAGAGCATTCGCCGTCGGATAGAAGGAGAAGGCGGCATAGTAGCTCGCGGCGGCACAGTCACCGGGGAGAGAGCCGGCGTCGGAGCAGGGACTACTGAGGTTTGGAGTGTCTACCCACGTTCAGATCGCGTTGATTCTTTTTTTTACTCTCCAGCGACTGAATAATTGTTGGGACCATTTTTGTAATAGATTTCGTTGCGGTGCCGTGAGTGCGGCATATTCACGTGAGCGATGAGCGATGTTGTACGAGCCATTTTTGTTGGGATGGACGATATACTAGGGCGATGTACGTCAAACACGGACATGGGATACTGGATACTGGAGATACCGATCGGAGCGGGAAGGTAAGGATGGAGAAAGGAGGGAAGGAAGTGTCAGATGGAAGATCAAGTGTGGGGTGACTCCGGACAGCGGGATGGGGCCGAAGACGTGTTCGGTTTCGATACGAAAGCCCGTACACCAATCTCATAAGTTGGGACGTGGTTGATCCAAAGGGCTTCCCGAATACGGCGGATTTGGTGATCCCATGATCGTTCATCGCGCCAATGGGTGGGCATTATGGTGCTGCCTCGGTAGCCGGTGCGCGCGTCTGAAGAGGTTGCAATAATCCGGGCCTCGTCACCTGTTATCACGCATGAGAAGACATCTGAAGGGAATAAGTGGTGAAATAAGATCTGTTACGGTCGAGCATTTGTTGGAGGGAATGGAGCGTATTCTGATGGATGAGATGGAAGGCGATTGATACCAAGGCGCGGATATAATCTGGACTATTTTTAACATTTCCTCTCATTGCTCTAATCTGCTGAAAAACCATTGAAGAAGAATGCAGTTGAGGTCCGTCAGTTCCCTCACTAACGGAGTTTCCGCGCCCATGAAGTGATTGGTATTTGCAATAGTGACATGCTCACGCTCTGGAATGTGCAGCTACTGCAGGGTACCAAGGGTAAGGCATTGATGAACAGAAATCGACGATGCTCCTGGCAAAACCTTGGATGAATGAGATAGGCAAGTAAAACTTGTAAGCTCTTCCCCGTCAAGTCAACCCAAGGTAGATAGATAAATAATGCACTGGCAGGTGTGGTCAAATGGGGATTGGCCAATGGTGGCAGCAGGAGCCGCATTTCACATGCTTTCCCCGGACTTGTGGAGGAGGGTACCTACGCCCTGCTCCAAATAGTTTCAGAATGACATCACCTGCGAGCTTTCGGCTTCCCGGTCGTGCACCACGTCCACACTTCAGGTACCACCATAGATAGGTACCAGTATCCAATTCTTCACGAGACAAATCAAACAATCAGGCACAGGCACAGGCACAGGCACAGGCAAGTTCCTAATCCGGCAATTGGTAGTAAAGGGCGCCGTCCATTTGCACACACACACACACATACACACACACTCCCTTTCCCGATTCTACCATTTTCGACGCTAGGCAGCTTACCTAGGGTGCTCAAGGTACCTCACCTCTGAGAGCTTTTGTTGTCTGGCTTGTGAGACATCATAGCTCCTACTTCCATCCTTCCCGCGGCCGACGTATAGCTCCGAGTAGTGTAGCTCGGGGCGTCTCTCCCTCCCTTTTAACGTTTGACCTTTCCCTTCCCACCTTTCCTGCCTCTGTGCTTCTCCTGTACGTTTATCTTTTCACACCAACTCGAACATCTGTGTCTACCCAAACTGTGGATAACAACACCTCACCCGCAAGACGTCAACGAAACCCGAACTTCACTTGGCTCCAGGAACTATACAAGAGACCAAATTGGTCCGTTTTCACAAGCTTGAAAGATTCATCTACGATTTTATAGCTCCACACGGCAAGACAGCAAGACGTCCTTCGATTCGAAGCTGACACGAGCGCAAGATGGATCATCCAGGTACGCAGACGTCACCCATACACACACAAACACCCTGAACGAGACGGCAGCATCTCGCTGCCAACACTTACAAGAACCCTGGCTGTATATCATGGCGGCTACGGTGCGCTATCCCCCACGCCCGCAACTCGGTGCTTCGGGGTGGTCGAATCTTGAGTCGCTGGGCCGCTCGCCCCCTTTCTCCCGTAGTAGATTCAACTAGACAAGCTCAAGAGCGTCATTTTTACTGACAAGCATCCGGCTACAGTCAAGGAGATCAAGACCGTCATCCGGGACCTAGTCCAGGGATCCCCTGAGAAGCAGCAGAATGCTCTCTACTCCAACTTCACCGAGGACGCCTCGTTCACCCACCCATTTTGCCATGTCCCGTCCTTTGGCAATATCCAGATCCCGTTTCTCTTCACCATCAATTCGCGCTGGTTGGTCCTCATGATTTACCGCTGGTACCGCATTTTGAGCCCTAATATTGAAATGGAGATTGAGTCTTCCGGTACGTTCCCTGTTGTCAGTCTGGTCAGCTATCTCTCTTGGAGGCAGCTTTCTACAGCATAACAATGTACTACAGTCCGAAATGCTAAACCCCCCACAGTCCAAGACCAGAAGACAAACCTGCTCTACGTCAAGATGCGCCAAGACTTCCGCCTGTGGTTCGTTCCCTTCTACTCGGCCCCCGTCGACTTCGTCGTCGTCCTTCGCCTGGAAACCCGCACCATCGACGCCAACGGCAACCCGCTGCCCCGTGGCTACGGCGACACCGCCTCTGTCGGAACCCGTCAACGCCAGTTCATTGTCAGTCAGGAGGATCACTACCAGGTCGGCGAGTGGCTCAAGTTTATCGCCCCATTCTTCGGCTACTGGGCCTGGCACGCCTGGACCCTCTTGGCAACGGCGCTGTGTGTCGTTGGCGCCTTCTTTGGCTATCCCCTGACCTTGCTTTTCGGACAAATGGCTGGCCCCAACAGTAACGGTAACGGTCAGGAGAGTAAGCGGGAGTAGGACATCGCGGTTGACGACCTGTTTATCTTTTTGGGAGAGTTTCAGAATGGCCTAGCAAGAGTAGCTAATGAGGTGTCAAGCAAGTCTTGGTATTGATTGTGCGAAAGTTGAGTGAGGAGGAAGGCATGTCTTTGAAGTATGGATAGTCAACTGGCATGGTATTAGGTTTGTACTCTCAGCGAATAGTTGCCGGTACTAAATGGGGTACTAAATGGGGTATGGTTAGCAACCTACGCAGGGCATTGGGCTTTGAACTATGGTCCCTGAGTTTGACTTGATCATGCTTTCCGTGGATACGGGCTCGTGTAAAGGAGTGACCTTCATCGTCGACCATCCCAGCTAGTGTAGAGAAGCGACGTGAGGTCAGTTTTACCCTGGGGACTCGCACCTCATTCATTCGAACGTAAGATGGCCCGCTCCTGTGACACTCGCCTCGTTCCTTCTTCCTCGACTTCACTTGGCATGTGAGGGCTGAGGTTATATATACCACCCCAACTCCACACATGTCACCAGCATAGCAGCGTCCGTCTAGGTCGGCGGGTCAGGTCAAGTTGTGTGCGAGGTGGCCGAGTTGGTCAAAATAATAAAAAATAAATACTCCAATGAAGTCAGATTTCGGATTGACTGAGGGGCGTGCTGTTCAATTACGGGCAGGGGCGTGAGTTCTAGTTGAGGTATCCCCCTCCCCCTCCCCCTTCCCTTCCCCCTTCCTTTCTTTTTTTTATATGTATTAGAAGAAAGAGGTTCATTGATACTTGGTTAACCCTATTCAACGCTGGTTATGAGTTGCTCAACATACGTAAATCCAACACTTCCGAGTACAATCAACTCCATGTTATAATTGGTACACTATTTTTGGTGATGGCATATTAAAGAAGCGTGAAATGGTCCATTTTCTTGTTCGATCTAACGAGGAGACTTAGTATAATCGACAAAAGTCTCACTGGCTCTCCTCTCTCTGTCTCTACACTCACTACCTTACTTCACCTCTACTTTTTCCCTCTCTCTCTCTCTCTCTCTCTCTCTCTCTCTCTCTCTCCCCTCACTCGCTTTTCTGGGTATACCAAAATTCAGACGGCAAGCAACAGATTTTCCTTGCACCCACGGGACCAGCCTCCCTCTCTCCAGCTTCATCTCAACACGAAAACCACTCTCGCCATTCATTCTTTGAATATGTCCATCCGAGCAATATACGTCTGTCCACACCGAGTTGGTCCCTTTTCTGTTGTGTTTTGAAAGATTTGCTCACCCTTTTTTGCCAATCCGGTTCGTCAATATATATATATAAAATAAAAAGAGGTCTTGCCTGCCATCCCTGCTTTTTCTGATCCATATCCCCGGCCTGTGTCCGTATCTTTCGTACGGGTTGAGGTTCATCACATAATATACTATACTGCAAGTCATGAAGCCCGGCTGGCGTCATCCTTCCCTTCAAAGAGAGAAGGCGGCGTGTCCGGCACGGAGGCGTCAACTGAGATTTCTCCCAGAGGCCGCCGGCGTCGTGGCCGAAGCACATACACCCGCCAGCCCTTCCATTTTTGGCGTTTCCCAGCCGTTTTTATTTTGTGTTGGTATCATCATAAGGGCTAGTAATGCATTTCTAGCACGGAGGCGTCATCATGGAATTATCTCTTTTTCCAAGAAGCCGCCGGCGTCGTGCCATTTTCTCTTTTTTCTTTCGTTGGTTGTTGGCGTTTCTCGTCTCCTTCACATCCCGTTTCGCCCGTTCGCGTTGCCGTTCGGACCCTGCTGTTGATCCGGGGATTGTTGTTGCTGTTGCTGTTGCTGCGCCTGTGACTGCTGCTGTCCCCCAAAGAAGAAGCCATCGAAAATGTTCATCTGCTGGCCGTCACTGAAGTCGTGGTGCATGTTATCCCAGTTGATGCCGAATCCCAGGTCAAGCTGTGGTGTCGTCACGTCTCCGGAACCGCCAAGCTCGCCGTTGGGGTTACCGCCTTGCAGGCTCTGGAAGAAATCCATGGTCTGGATGTCTGGGTAATCGGCCACACCATACGATGATGACCCCTGCTGCTGCTGCTGATTCAAGAAGGATCCGCCGCTGCTGGTCCGCTGATTCGCCACGCGGCGGGGCACCGGAGGCGAGGCCACGAAGGAAGGATCGATTTCCGAAGGGCTGCCCTGGCTGGGGGCCATCATATTGAAGTCCGTGGCGCGCGGGGAATGGCGCGGTGGGAGGTCGCCAGCGACGGAGAGACTCGGAGACGAAAGGGTATCTGACAGCGCCAAGTCCATCTGGAAGTTGCCCTGCCCCGACGACTGGTGTTGTTGGTGGCGGCGGCGGGGTGCAACACTCGCAGTCGATGTCGATGCCCCGTCACCCGAGGCAGAGCTCCACTCGAATTGTCTCTCGCGCATCTTGCGCGGCGGCACCGAGTTGAAGCCACCGGTCGAGTTGGCCATCTTGATAGTGGCCTTTGCGGTACGATCAAATGCGTCGCGGCAGGTCTCGGCCGGTGGGCACTTGTCAATCAGGTCAGTGAAGACAGACTTGGCGGCCAGGATGGTGAAGTCGACTTCGTCCATTGTCTATGCCATTGTACGTTAGAGCTATTTCAATTGATCTCAAAATCAAGGGAGTTAACTTACCAGTCGGCTTCTGACAATGGGCGAGTGCCAGATAGCGTAGAGGTAGGATATGCCAGCCATGAAAAGATGATGAGTCGACAGATACGTGTAGCTGACTAACCCGCTCAAGTGTAGCTGGCGGTAGATACGCAGGATCTTTTGCCCGGCCTCGGCGACCTTGAGATAGATTCTGTCCTCGTCCTCCCGCAGCTCCGCCTGAAAAGCTGTCGGGCTGTTCACCTCGTTGGAGGTGTTGTACTCGCCCTCGAACATGGCGGGCACGCTCAAACTCTGGCGGTAGAGCATGATGATGGCCTGCCAGTAGTTAAGTTCCAGGAACTCGGTCGAAAATGCCACGCCCGTCTCCTCCCGCGTTGGGGCCGAGTTCTTCCACTGGTACAGCCTACGGTCGATATCGATGCGCCACGAGCGGAAGGAGTCGAACTTGACGAGAAACGGCGACGGCAGGTGGGTGTGCATGTCCGAGTTGGTCAGGTTCTGGCCCGACGCCCGAACGACCTGTGTCTGGTTGTATTGCAGCACTTGGAGGATCTCAGACTGCAACAGCCGGAGCTTGAAGTAGTGGTAAGCCACGTGCTTGTAGCTCGGCTCAGATGAGTCGGCGGGCTTCTCTAAAAATCCAGTCGATGCGATGTACTGATCGTCCAAGAGCGAGGGGAATTCGGTTGTGATGACCTGGTCGCTGATGCCGAATGGTCGTCCGACGCAGGTGCTCACCAGACGATCCAAGGAGTAGGTGCACCACCAAAGCCTCCGCCTCATGTCGCGGATGTACAGTCTTCGGCCCCTCTCGCGTGACTGGGCGTTCCTGGCTTCGTTCACTTCGCCGTTCTCATCCTTGACCAGATCTCGCATGGCCGGTTCCACGTCGCTTCCATCTTCGTAGTGCAAGCCTAGATCCACAGCTAAGCGCACGGCAACGCCAATGATATACCTGTCAACTTGTCAGAATCGTGTCTCATAATGCGATCAGCTTGTCAGGGATGGAACTCACCACAGGCCGGGAGGAACAGGTCGAAGGAGCGCAAAGTTGGCTAACAACAGCACAGCTTGCAACACCTCCAACCCACCGCCGCTGTTGCCCAGACAAGCCTCGAGATGCACGATGGCGCTCGCATGGTACTCCTCTGGCTGTGCCTGGCCAAACTTGTTCGCATCCGCTGGATTGCGCGGTCCGGCACCCGAACCCTCAGATTTCACAGGCTCGCCCACAATCACACCACATCCGATTGCAAAGACCATGTTCAGCATGTACAGCTCCCGAGCTCCCTTTGGCCCACTGGGATCAGCGTACGCCTGGTCGAACATTTGCATAAACTCCCCTCGGTGCAGAATGGGGATCTGGGGATTCGCGTGCTCAAAATACAGAGTCACAAGCCTCATACCCACGTCTTTCTCAGGGAAATTTGCCGGCCGGATCGTGGGTTTCGTGTGCAACCCGAAGAAGGAGTCGCGCATAGATGTCCCGCTGCCAATCGGTAAGCCCTTGCCACCAATTCGGTCCTGCGTCCCGTTGTGATCCGACACAGAATATTGCACAGCGGCGAAGACTACACGATTGAACGAGACCCCTGAAGCCGAAGCCAATGATCGTGGTTTCGATGGGCTGACGATATCAAGCATTCCCGTACCACCGCTCTCTGCCTTTTTGGCCTTCTCCAGGTCGGGGCGGTGTATGCTACTCTTCGCTGTCCCGGCCCCATCAACACTCTCCGAGCGCGCCGAGGGGGCAATGTCTGTCGTCGATTTCGCGATCTCGGCACCGGGACGTGAGCAGAGCTCCAGGTTCTCGGCAGGTGGAAAAGGTATGTTTTGGTTGGCGAGCAGTGCCTCTAGCTGTTCTACGCGGGTTTCGAGATAGAAGACGTAGCTTTACGAGTCACAATATTAGCACTCAATCGACAATCGAGGTGATGCCTCTTGCGCGCACATGCGCGCGCACTAAGCAACTCCCAATATAGGTACGCTACACGGACAAGTGGTTTATACCTTCTGGGAATCTCCTTCTTTGTGATGGGGTCGTAGCCCACGCAGGCGACGCCGGCCTTTGCGCAGCTCGCACAACTGGGCAGCTTCTGGTCGCATCTGTTCTTCCGTAGGCGACAGCGGTTACAGGCGCTCACGTTGCGGAAGTTGCTGCTCTGGCCTGCTTTGCCTCCTCCGCTTCCTCCGTTTTTCTCAGCAGAAGTGAGGGCCGCGCCGATATTGGCCAACAGATCGTTTTGTTCGGCTGCTGACGGGCTCTGGTCGATGCCAGCAGAGGGGGGCGGGGAGACGTCGACATCGTAGGAGCCTTGGCGCGGGCGCTTCGTCGGCTTGAGGGTGGGCGATGGCGGTGAGTGAGCCGGCATCGTGTCAGGGGAACGTCTCTTAATCGAACGGTATCAGGCGGCTTTTCGGAAAGAGGAGACGGAGCGGGGAAGGTTGGGACGAGTATAGTGTTGGGATTGACTTCCGGAGGCGCGGCTGCCGGCCGGTCGGGGTGAGTCGGAGGCTGGTTATAGAGCCGACTCTAGACGAGGTAGAGAGTAGGAGGCACAGGCCGTCCTGTACACTTCAAGGTGAGCGCAAGTCCCTCAGCCAGGACTGGCGAAAGGTGCGGTTGTGAGAGGGAGTAGGAAGAGGTGAGAGTGAAGGTGGGAAAGGCTGGACGTCGGTGAGACATACAAAAGTGTTGGAAACAGCCTGTTATCGCGACGCTATCTCGACTTGCACAGTGACAGCTCCACACATCATTCGGCAGTGGGCACAGACGGTAGGAAGAAGGGGACCTCTTGTCTCGTCTACCTAATCCCAGCGGACTAAGGCGGCGCTAGAGGCAAGGGCCGGTTCTAGGCTGGACAGACGTAGACGATGGGGGGGGGTTCTCTGCAACGGAGTGGCGGCGGGCCTGGGAAATGGCAAAGGCGATCGGGACTGTGAAGGTCACGAAGTATGTACAGATTGGCGAGCGACAGACCCTTCAGCTGGGATCGCTCTGGATGTTGGGGATCTGACCGAGATTCAGGTCAGGGCTGCGCATGTCGAGTCGGTCAGAGGACAGGCGGACAGCGGACGGCGGAAGACGGCGACGGCGGCGGCGGGATGCTGCAGACAAGCGAGAGGGAGAGATAGACAGGCCCAGTAGCTTGTCTGAAGGATGGGAAAGAAGACAAAGTGATTCAACGGTGGTGGGAATTCCCGCATACGACAAAGGTCAAGCTACCTCGAATCGAGCTGGGCTGTGGGATATGCGCAGTGGTAGGTGAAGAAAGAGGCGGTCGGTGAAATGACAAGAGCAAAGAGCACACCAATTTGAGGTAAACGGGATGGATGGACGCGCTAATTGGAAAGGACCAATCTGCAGCTGGCGATATTAGTTTTCGTTGACCTAAGCACTTTTTTTTCTTCCCCTTCCTTCCTTCAGCTGATAAGGAAAGCAGGAAGGAGGGTCCATCGTACTCGGCCAGTTAGTTTGTGGTGCGCCTGGCACGGAAAGTGGAGGTCTGGAGACAACTGGAAAGTTGAAGGAGTCAAGCCACAGGTGAGAAGTGACTGCGCTTGCTACAACATCATCATCCTTCTTCATCATTGAATAATTCCATCTATCATTTAAGGTACCTAACTTGAGTTGACGGGCCGAACAGAGAGCTTGATAAGTCTTCAGCCACAAGGCACACGACCAGCAGCCAACTCTCTTTTTAATCATCATGTCTCTCGCGTCCCCCCCCCAAACCACTAAAAGACCCCCAAACGAGAACGAGCAAACAAAACAGCGTACGCCGTTTGGTGCCTTGGGTACCTTACTAAGGAATATGATCCCTCACCTTCTCTGAGTCTCTCTCTCTCTCTCTCTCATCTCTGTACGAGCATCATCTAGGTAAGGTACGCAGACTGCCCGCCTGTCTGCCCCCCGCACTACGACATACACCAAACACACCAATCATCGAGATCCTGACCGGCAATGCCTCGTTTGGGAACTCCATCCCGCGCTGCCGCATCGGCCTGAGCCTTTTGGCGCGCCCTCGCTTGGCTATGATGGCCGCCGGGTATCAGTTGACCATACCCTTGGAAACCGAAAGCAAGCCACCCACCCCCCAGCAAGCTAAAAAAGCCAATTGCTTTGCTCTCATTTGAAACTTGGCATTGGCTCCCTTTTTACGAGGGTCCAATTCACCCTCTTACACACATGTGTGTGAGTGTGCCTGTTATCACCCAGAACCCCCCCCTTATCTATCCGTCGAATCCGGGACCGTTTACGATTGAGACCGCCACACCCTTTAGAAGACGCCTTCTTCCTCCGTACCGGCCGCCGCCTCTGACTATCTGCTGAGTTCATCTCTAAATCATATCTTGTCTCCTCTGTTACCATGTCGTGGTGTTGTGACGTTCTGAGGATCACTATCCGTACCACCTTACTAATCGAGTTTGAAGCCACCGCCCACTTCACGATGTGTGCCCAAGATGCCCTCAAGAGTCGAGATGCGCAATTGCGATCCGTCGTTTTGAATTGACCAAACCCCAATCTCGCCAAGCGAAACTCTCAACGTTGTCATCTACCGTTCATTCGCCCATCGAATAGCAATACCGAGGTCCCCTCGGCTCCGTAGAGGTCTACCGTATCTCACCTACCCACTCCCAGCGCCGACGCACCCAACGGTCCAGCACAGGCTTAGTACACCTTTGCTAACGGACGGGGATTCTCCAATCCATCACAAGTCACAAACTATTCACCCGCTCGCCGTTATCGGTTATGGATATTGTAATCTTGATCCCCTTCTCGCTGTCAAAAGATCCCAAATGTCCATTTGTGATCCTATCCAATGAGCGATGCCAATACCGACGACCAACACGCGCATGTGAAATCCCCACAAACGTTCCAACCTAGCCTCGCTCACGATACCATCATCTATCTGCCTAACCTCCCATCTCTGAATCCCGATTCTTTCTCTTCTAGTCCCCTCTTCTCTTACCATCCCGCCGCCACCCCACAAACCCGGGGGAGCATCGTACCAAACTGCCTCATCTTTCGGATGAACCAAGGCCAGGAAATCGTACACCGTAGTAGTATAGTATAGGGTTAGGTACGGATTAGTTGCAATCATGAGACCGGGATAGCATCCGAGGAAACCGTGTCGCTGAACCCTGCGAAATCTCGTTCGAGACCAACCTTACCCCGGGTTTCTTCAAAGACAAAAAAAAACAAAAAAAGGAAGAGAGAGCATGTTGATACTTGCTTCACCCCCCGTGCATGTCTCATACAGCAAAACGCTGAATCCATGTACCACAGCATGTACGTCACCAATGTTTCGCTTGGCGTCGAACAGAAACTACCCGAGAAACACCACGGCCTCCAAGCTCATGAGGCTTGGAATCAAGGCCGGTAAACAGGTAGGTTGGTAAGGTCATGGAAGCCTGTTTCAGTCATCGCGAGGGTTATCACTTGTCACAGCGTGGTACACGATCAAATAAGGAGGGAAACAGCATGTTCGTCAAGTAAGGGTTTGTTCCCTATCAATTCTCTAAGGAATAAGCCATCATTAAAACATCAAGAGCAACAGACCTTTGCAAGTCTTGACAGGCTCCATAGAACAAATCGAGTTTCCCCCCAGTTCAGAATCCCTTCCTTGCCAAAAATTCCTGTCCCGCTCCTCCACTCTCTTTCCTCGGGTTGGTTTGGTAGGTCTGGTCGCTGTGGTATTCCCCCAAACAAATGCCATTCGCTTTTCTCTTGTTGCGCCCTGTGCGGTTTCCTGTCTCTTCGCGCTCCCTGCTCTCTTTCCAGTGTCGGTTGTTCCCTTGGACTTCCATGGTATCTCCAACTCCATATCCGAAAAGAATAATCCGTATACAAAAAAAAAACAATGGCCGAGGATCGTCGCCTGACCCGATACATGATGTGATGTTGAGCGCCTCCCTAAAGGTTTGAAAAAGTCGAAATGAACAAGAACTGAAAATCCAATCATGCAGCCCGCTGATGGGAATGGTCGAAATAAAACAAGTAACAAGACGTGAGAATCCCTCATGTTCTCTCTCCTCGGCCCGTCTGAATTAAATCGTGTGATCTTAATAACTCTTTTCTCTGATTCCTTCCGTCGTGTCCCGTGAGCGATAGTCTATGTCTTGTTGAGTCCCTTCCTGTCGATGATAACGCTGTAGGATGAAAACTCCGATTGTTGAATAATGATGTAAAAAGTAAATTGTGCAAGTCCCATGGCGCCGTTCCGGGGTATCGAGTTTGAGGGATATGGTAGTCAACGTCTATGATCACGGTGGTGTGGTGATCACGATCTCCGGCTGGGGCCAGCCTCGACCTCGTATTCGTCGTCTTCAATGGGGACTAGCAGTCCCTCGATCTCCGTGGGTTCCACTGCCGTCTCGATGTCTCTGGTAGGCTCGTCAAGGCGTCCACGAGGCTCGGTGAGGTGCATGCTGAGGAAGGCGCCGAGAATGGTGATGGCGCCACTGGTCCACCAAGCGAGTCCTGAGTAGCCAGTTCGAATACCAAGGGTGTAAAGAAAACCCGAGATCGTGGGTCCGAAAGCCCTGCACAAGCTTGCTGTCGAGGCCGCAACGCCGTTGATTGTTCCGAGGGACATGAGGCTCGGTGCCGAGTTGGTGAGCAAAATCGCATTGCTGGGATACGCCATGGTTGAGAAAGTGCACTTCCAGATGACCATGATGTAGATGCCAACCATTCGCAGGTTCTCAGGCAAGAGAGCCAGGTAAGGCGTCGTCAGGTAGAGCAAAAAGTACGAAATCGCCAGCAGCCTGAACAGTCGGAGGGGGCCGAGGCGTCTGGTAACCCACGGGAAGATGAACACAGTCGAGATCATAGAGTAGACACCCTGAACAGCGAGAATGATGCCGATGCGCTTCGTGTCCATGGAAAAGCCGCCGTCGAACTTGAAGGGAAGGTGAACATCCGAGTTCTGGGGAGGCGTGGTGCTGAGGAAGACGGGGAACAATTGATCGAAGGTCATGGTGTGGCTGGTGGGAGAGTCAGCATGCTGATGCGAGTGTCAGGATCTCAAGACGTAGGTGGGTGACTTACAAGGCCAGGATACCGTAGGAGATAATGTTCAAGATGACTGGTCTGGTGAAAATCACCTTGGGCTGCTCCGCAATCTCGTCAATGATTGATGCCTCTGTGAGATCCAGGGTTTCAGTCGGCTCGGGGATGGTAGAGTCGGATCCCACAAGTTGAGGAGAGCTCTCGTTCGTGCGGTAGCCGGGAAGTTCGTCGTCGTCGAGCAGTGCCTGCTTCTCCGCTTTCCGCGCAGGGATTTGACAGCTCTTAGCCGACACCCATGAGATGATGCGCTTTCCCAATTCCACACCGGGGTCTCTCCTCTTCTTCCTCTCAGCATGAGTTTCCTCCAGGAAGAGCAAGCCAATGACAACTCCACAGAAAACAGTGGCAGCGCTGAAAAGGTTGGGCAGGAGGAAGGGATATTGCTCCCAGATCGTGCCAGCCTTGAAATACTGAGGGTAGCTTTTCACAGGCTCGGCGAGTAAGCCACCAAGAGCAGGTCCAACGATGGAGCTGTGCACAGTCAGACACTGGTCAATTAACTCTGGCGAGTCGCGTAGTAGGGGTACGCTCGCCACAAACTCAACTTACCCAAGACACCAAACTAGGGGCATAATAGTGTATGCGCGGGCTAGGCAGAGTTAGCTTATCACCTGTAACCGGGGAAGGCTTCCGAACTTACGCTGATGCTCCTTGACCGTAACCAACTCTGCGACAGTCGTTTGCAGGACACCAATGTTTCTTTGCCAAAAGTCAGCCAAAGAAAGGTCAATTTTCACCAGTCAGCTCATAGGGTCGACATACCCGTTCAACAAGCCACCGAGAGCTCGCGCAATGAGTGCGACAGTCAAGTTGGGGGCAAATCCGAAAACCAGAGAGCTCAAAGCCGTGCCAAAGAGACCCATCAAGAGAACAGGCTTGCGACCAATCTTGTCACTGAGCCTTCCCCAAACGACTCCTGTGGAAAATTCGGCCAAGGTGAATGCGGATGTGATCATACCGGCGTAGACGGATATTTTGCTCGTGTCTTCGGTGATGTTGAAGTGTTCGACCATCTTATAGACGTAAGGGAAGATGGACATGAATGCAATCGGTTCGCATATTCTGCAGAGTGCTGGTTGATGAGCATGTTAGCGGCCATCCTGCGGTAAACTCGTGCAAGACCGCTGGACGAGGACATGCATACCGAGAACAAACATTTGTGTCGTGGGAAAGGGTGCAAGCTTGGATTTCATGCTCCTCGAGGAGCCGCCTCGACGGCCTCCCGTCATGTAGCCGGACCTCTTCATCTTGGTTGATCCTTGGTGTATGCGCAGTTGACAAGCTGGATGGGTGTAAGGCACGAGGAGATTCGGTAGGCGTTTACAAAATTGTCGGATCAAGGGATGGGTGGGCGATGTTGCAATATATAGCACTGCGGTTCATGAAATGTTTCCGGTGGACTCAAGAATCGAGGGAGAACAACGGTATCGTGGAGCTGGTGGTCCAGATCGGTGTGGGCAAGAATTTGTTTTGCTAGTCTCGTGGAAGGGAGGAAAGCGTGTTGATGCTCGAGACTGATGATGTAACCATGAAAAGCAATGGTGGAAAAGCAAAGATAAAACAAGAGCAGAGCGAGACCAAAGCTATTCAGGCAGCGTGGCGGAAGGGTTACCTTATGGAAGAAAGTATCAGATGGGACAAAAAGGAGCAGCTCTGGGGAAGCAAGCAACTTAATATGAAGGGAGCGCGGACGGTGACGATGAGAGGACCAAGAGACGTCAAAGCCCAGGGCCACCCCAGACACAGACCAGACCCAGCTGGGTTGGACAGGCCACCGGGACCGTACCATTGCCTGGGTCGCGGAAGCAAATTTTGGATCTAAGATTGGAACGGCGGTGACCATGGACCATGGCATGTCCAGCGCAAAAAAGCAACAAGTCGATCCTCCCACTTGTCCACCGGGGAGGGATTCAGGGAGATGCGGCGGCGAAAGGTCCCACGTCGTGGGAAGGGATCCAACTGCCCGGCATGACGGCCGTGGGGCCTGAAAAGCCCTGTACCTGATCCAGGGGTGAACCCCCCAGACAAGACTCGGTGGGCTTTTTTCTCCATACATGCGCAGTCGGGGTGTGTGTATGCGGCGCGGCGTGCCCCCTTACCCATGTCGAGATGACGGTCCCAAGGCCATGAGTGTTCGCCTTACAACTGTGGGTAAGTGTAAGTCGGTACGTCCACGGCTCGGCCACTACCTACGCGACGGGTACTACCCGGATGAGATTCCCTAGGCGCAATCCGTTGTTAGCAGGCCAGTGGTGTCAAGGAGAGATGGGGTTCGGAGCGAGCGGGTGCGTGGGCGGTGGGTGTGTGAAAGGGAGACTGAGAGACACGCACACACACACCACACACACATACGCAAAGTGAAAGAGACGTGGGAGAGAGTATCCGAAGGTACGAGAGTACTTCACTTGACCGGACGAAGAGAGTACGTACTCAACAGACCGACATGGACGGAGTAGGAAAAGTAGGCAAGGGGTGGTAGACTCGGGGAAGGATGGCGCCAGACCGGAGGGCAGGGATCAACAGAGGAAAAAAAAGGTTTCACAAGAGGCAACGAGGCTAGAGCCTCGATGGGACTGGGCTGGATTTGGGAGTGGGAGACTTTTTGCAGCAAATGGAGCCAACTCGGAATTGGGGTGTGGGTAGTTGCAGGGCGCCAGAAATAAGAAAAAGCAAAAGAAAATTAGCCGACGGACGCAACAGGTTACAACAGGAAAGCCAACATTTACCTGCACTTTCGTCGATGGCCGCTGTGTAGCGACTACGCGTCCATCAAGTGCTTGTCACTGTTCTGATCCGTATCGCAATACTCCGTACCAAAACCTGCGATCACTGATGCGCAACGCAGCGGCATCTGTCCCGTCCCGATCCCGGTCCCTTGCTCCCATCTCGCCTTGTCTGCCCCGGTGGCAACTACATCGAGTGCTGTAGGTGATATGAATGTAGCCGTATCCGTAGACACATGGTGCTCGTCTCGGAAAATCAAACTCGTATAATTACCCGGGTTTCGGGCTTCATTCTCCAGCATGTATCAGCCTTGAGGTCTTCCGCAGTGTCTAGGTTCTTTTCAATATGAATTCTGTGCTCCGGATACCGTAAGGAGCTTGCTAGAACCATGCGCACCAGATTGATGGTATGATAACTTCCGTCAGATGTGGTTGCGAGAAGAGCATTTTGACACTGTACTGTTGATTTCTTGTCTTTCACAGGTGGACGAGAAGACGAGATGCAACTTGTCTGCGATGTGAGGCACGCAAGGTGTGTACTTACGGCCCAAGGTTCAAACCCCCGGCACTTGGGTCGCATGGCTGGCTCTGCTGTAGCAGGGGGGGTTCGACATTGGATTGTTGGATGAAAGCGACAAACCACCCGCCGAGGGCTGGTCAAACGCTAGTTGACTGTATTGTCGAGGGAGGGCGACATGGGGAAAAAACCCAGGCTGTCCCTGTGGCTCAGTAATAGACCGCCTCCTTAGCAGGGTGAACTAATCCTGTTCCCCGCGCTGCCTGTGCCTGTTCTTTTGCGGTGAGCGGCAGTACGGAGTACAAATACAAGACGTTAGCTTTGCTGCCTTTGATTGGGGTATCAGGGGTGGGATTCCATTACGGATCATCCTGAATATTCCCTCTGGAGCTATCCCTATTGTTGGGCAAACTGAGGTGGGACGCGGGTATGCTTCCTGTCGCACGCGGAGCTTATCACGCCCCAGAGAGCATGCATCAGAGCGCCGAGGATCTGAGCAACAAGGCCGGGCTAATAGAACCACCTCGTCGTCCGCTTCTGTGAGGCGGTGAATGAAAGCAGGGCCAGGGCTGCGGAGTGTACCTCCCGGCGGATATAGACGCTTGTTACACCAGCGTCGGCCTTCAACTATTCGAAATTACAGAAGCCGTTGCCGTTACGGTTTACCGCTGCCGCTGCCGCCGTACATCGACTCGGAGCCTGTCTGCGGGATTTCTGGAATGAGGACATATATTACTGCGTAGGTAGACTCGTAACTCGCGCAACGGCTCGTAGGAAGAGTACGCGTCGCTAGATACACAACGTGCGGCCCGTATATGTGTTTGCCTCAGCGTACTGCTGAATACGAGAGGGCATCCATAGTCACACAGTACTCCGTACTGTTGCTTGCAGCGGCCGTATGCGATTGTGGAGAGGCGCCTCTCGAACGTCGCACAGCTCTATCGGCCGAGACGTGTTTCCGCCTGTGTCTGTAAACCAAGGTAGCGTTGACGTTGTATGTGCCGTGACGTCTGAAAAGGGCGACCCTCGAGACTGCTGCAGCTTGCTCAAGCGCTCAGCGTACGGCTCGAGGTCCTGTTGGCCGCATGCAACCCTGACCACGACAGCTTCCGATTGGAATGCCAACAGCACACTTTTTTTTTTTGCGCTCGAGCGGTCGATTTACCCCCCCTTCAACGGTGTAGAGGTTGTAAGGCGAACGGATACCCAAGCGAACCGACTCAGGCGGTGCAATGCAAGCCCAACCTCAGTTTCCCATCCGTCCCTCTAACTATCCCCTCTTTCAAAGAGTCATATCGTGACATGTCGGCATCTTACTTGCGCACGCCTGGTCACTTGACGATGCATCTTACTCCGCAGCATGGAGGGTTGTGTTGCGCTGGCAATCAGTCAGCCTGTTTGCTTGCTGTCCTGTTCAATGACAATCGCGTTGCCCCGGTTCAGACTCTCGGCAGGCGTTTCCGCATCCTGGATTTGCCCACTCGACCGACACGTCGGCGCCCGGAGGCAGACTGGTTGGATCGGCGGGCTCACGTGCTTGTTGTATCCGTAGTGTACGGAGTACTGTACTGTCCTGTACGGATTCGTGACCGAGGATTGACGTTGTCCTGGCGTCGCCTGCAATGGCAATCCTCGATTGTTCCCACAGCATGGGGCAGCACGAAATAACCCTGGTGTCACCTTGATTAACAGCGACAAGTGGGCGATGGAGACGAACCAACGGACTGGGCCAGCATGGGCTAGGAGGTACGAATATCCATAGACCAGGCCGCAATGTTGGCCCTTCTCCAGAGGCATCCGTAGTGTCGGTGAAGTTGTAAACACGAGCCGACAAATGAAGCAGCCGGGGTTGTGATGAATGGAAAAAGTCTTTTCTTCTTCTTTGACAGGGTTAAGGAACCCTGGTCCGTCGGCCGTCATTTCTCTTACCCTGCTCGCAGAATCCTCGCTGATAGATCTCGCATTCCCAACCACTCTATCCGTAGCCGGACAGCCTTCTGTCGAGTGTAGACTGTTGCAGCAAGGTGAGGCTGTTTAATTGTCGCTCCGGGTGGCTGCCGCAGTTCATCACCCCGACTGTGTTTCTTCCCAATGCTTCATAGGGGTCTTGAACTGCTCGGCATCGTGCAGGAACGCTCGGACTCGGTGGTCACAACTCATTGATTGAATAGCTTGTTTAGGCGTCGCGGAAGCCGGGACGGTAGGTGATAGTCAGGAGTGTGCTGGTTGCCAACTTGCCACTTCCAAAATTGACGGTCCATCTGACAAGGTCAAGGGGCTGAACGTCAGCGCAAAGTTTGAGAGGCGCGGAAAATGAGGGCGTCCTTTGGCGAGGATTGCAGGCTTGGGCTCGAGCTTGGGCACAGCGGCTGGTTTCGGGCCAAGTGCCTGTGTGTTCTGAACAGCAGCGTATGCGCACCAAGTCCCTCTTCTTCTTACACCCTTTCCCCCCTCGTTGCCGCAGATTTTCACTGCTGAGCCCAGAACCGAGGTCTACCCCAGTTTGTAGGACATGAGTCTCCGTTCGAATATAGTGGATTGATGATGGCTGGTCCCTGTTCAAAACCATGTGGCATGGCTGGTACTCTTCCCCAAGCTGCATCATCGCTCCCAAAATCTTCCTTCACCATGGGATAGGTGAGTGCGACACCTGTCTGACGTCTCTACTTCCGACTTCGTACCCAGATGCACTCTACGTAGGGACAGCCGGCAACACTTCGGAAACCCTTCGTTCGTGACGAGGATGCTTATTGTGATGGGCGATCTTCTCGTGGCGTCGTGAACTACCCGTATTCAGTGAGGAATTATTGGCTTACCCTGAACAAAACCAGCTGTGTGAGTGTCGTACCGGGGCTCTTGAACCGGAAGCCGGAAAACCTCTTCCCTCAATCCCTTTCCGGAAACAGAGTTTGCCATTGTCTGCGATCTTGCGCTGCGCAGAGGCGTGCTGTTGTTGCAGCGGCGTGGGACTGTTTTCCATCTACTTTACGGAGTACTCCTCTCCTCCAAACAAAGCGTGACCGGATACCATCCGCGCTTTCGCCGTTGGTGAACCTAGAACAACCCTGGCTCAGGGTAGTCATAGCTCTGGCGGCACCTGTTATCGTGCAATTTGTGACTGATGTCGACCGCCGAAGAAGAAAGCTGAGCCTTGAGCACCCGTACTGAGCTACCACGAGCACCAACAAAGTCGGCCCGCAAAACGAAATGGCGGTGATCCCCTCCAAGGTACATCGCAATCAGGGAAATTGGCTTTCGTTTCCGCGCTAGGTCAGGGGTACCCTGTATCGAATCCCAGTAAAGTGTCCAAGCACCCCCATACAACCGTTCCTCTGGGCCCTGATCGGGCGAGTGCCGGAACCGGTGCCGAAACGCCAGGTAGCTGGTTCTGAGAGTGTATCAGTGCAGAGGTACCGTTCTGTATCCTGTCGTTCTCTCCTCACCGGTCCCATATTTCCGTTGCCTCAATATTCGCAGTGGCAGGTTCCGCCGCCGACTATCATCATATCCATCTTCCAGCGGATTATTCCTCCCCATAGTTGACAGAAGATCGCAAGGAGGATAGTCATTGCGGAGAGGTCAAGCGACTCGCTTCTTCCCTGTCCAGAAGAGTAGCATGCTAAGGAGGAAATGCGATGGATGGCTGCGTCTCGCTTCATGCATACTTCATCAGTCGAAGACAGTTCATGGAGCTCGTAGAAGCTGTGGCCAAATAGACCTCGGGTCCGGGGGACAGGGCGACTAGCTAGAGGCAGGGGGTCAATCATGTATGTAGGTATGTCATGCAGGTGATTCTCAACTAGACCTCCGAAGTTGAACAAGATGTTGGCAGCTTTCCACCAAAACTTTGACGTCGTTAATCGATGAGCCAGTCTAATCGCCCAAACTCTATCGATCTCGTCCAAGTATTGATGGTGCATTCAGCGCGATGGAATGCCGGTAGACAATCATTTTCCGGGTGAATTGAGACTGTGCAGTTTTGTCTACAGCCTGGGAGCCGGTGAAATGCGACGGGCCGTTCGGGATCATGATCTTGACGACTTGGCTCATGTCCCACTTGGAAGTGAGAACCGAATATGTGTACGGAGTAGACAACTGATTTCCTGGGGTCCGGTCCGCCATAACTTGTCATTTTTGTGATCGTACGACAAACGGTCTGCTCATTTTACTAGCAATCGTACCTCGTCCTTGGGGTTGGCGCAAGACCTACTGATCTGGAGCGAATAGCACTACCGACGAGCTTGTTGCAGACCTGTCCGAGCGGCCAACGGTATAGGTACGGAAAAGTACGCACCCTCGCTCTTACGCAATGTTCTCAAGACCCGGATGACCGGATCTCAGGGGTAGTGGAAAGTCTCCTAGCCCTTCGCCACGCGGCGCTTGGCGACCCATCAAAGGGGAGCAGCCGAATGGCTGGGGATGTGCTCCCAGTCCTCCCTTGACCGAGCCTAGCTAAATCCGCGTGTAGTCAGGATCCAGAAAAGGGGTGGTTCACTTCCGATGGGACGGCCGGTTTGGAATTGTACAACCACATGACCTGTCAACGTCAGGAACGGGGCTCGCTAGTTGAAGCCAGGCCAGGATAAGTCCCTGCTCGGAAGGCTGATCATAGAACCTTGACTCCTCGTCGTCGGTTTCAGAATCATCTTCGGTCTTGCCGGGGAGGGATCCTGGTGGCTACCATTTCGTCTCCATGCCGATGCTTCGAATTCTTCTGTGGATCCTTTGGAGCTTCTCTGCCACTTCCTAAATGAGGATGAGTGGGTTTTGAACAGTCACGCACTGCGTGTTGCTGCCCTCGGTTCACAGGGATGGCGTGGTATAGTTGACAAGACGGTGAGAAAGAAGGCAACGAGGCAATTCTTGGGTGCGGCCTACGTTGTTGGCAGGCTGGTTGTCCGCAGTTCGCCATATCGCATTGTTGGTCAAAATGCGAGCGAAGCAAGGCAGGTCCTCTCATAGCTCGACAGTCCGGCGCTGGGCAGCAGCTTACAGTCCCGTCGGGTGGGAAGCCCAGCGCACGCGGAGGTGACGACAATATCAAAGACTGCCGACCAGCGCTCTGGAAGTTTCCTCACCCCCGGTGGTATCATCTCGCGCTGACGGCGCTGGACCTGTCGTCTGGGTTGCTGGGTACGGGTACTCCTAGGATCCCGGGTTGAGTGGGGGAGGATAGCAGGGGTTACTCCCAAGAAACCCAACGGCCGGGTTGATTGCGAGGAGCAATTTCAGGGTCAAACAAGCCCGTGGTTTGCAGCAAGTTTACCAGCACGGGGGAGTGCCGCCCGTTTGCCGGACGAATCGTAAGACTGCGTTTCCCGGCGTTGATCACTTCGCGTAAAGGCGAGACGACTTCCAAGTCGAAGAGGCGGCGCGAGCACGAGCGGAGCCCCAAGCTTTGTTGCGTAAGGTGTCCGTATCCTAAGAAGACGGGAGCATGCCACGATGTGATGTCCCGTCCGTTCCGTCCCAATTGACTGGAAACTGCGGGCTGCATGTATCAATGCTTGCATCGAGGTCATACTGTACACGGTGGTCTGTACGTTGTGTGCGGTGAAGCGGGCACGGCGGGTAGACGACGCTGGAGGCTGGAGCAGTTGGCTACTGCAACCTGGGGATTAGGTATTCGGGTGCAAGTGTGTTCGTAGTGCGTACAGGTGCTTTTGTATCAGCTGTCGCATCCTTGACTCTGAGCTTTGCAGGTAGCGCTCCAGATGGGGTCTGATGGCTTGATTGATGGGCAGTCAATGTCGGCGTGTCTCAGTCCTGACAGGCTGTCTTGTCTGTATTCTCTGTCATGTCAGTTGTCGTCGATCCGGAGGGTCTGTCTCAGTTGTGTCGATTGGCGATTGACTTTCTTGGGTCAACAACTAGGAGACCACTGAGGGGTGCGGGCCGATAAGAATCGGTCAAGAGTCGAGCATGAAGAAATGGCTCCGACCACAGCGGTACGGATACCTACCCATTGACTTTGGTTTCGCCCAGTTGTCGGCAGGTGATATGTGGGCAGCTTGATCTAAGGCGGTGGGGGGAGAATGCTTCTGGCGAAAGGAAATCGATGAGCAGAAAAAGGAAGCATACATTCAAGGGTGAGATTGGCGGTGGGCGTGATGCGCGAGGAATGATGTAGGGTTGACCGAGACTGACGACGTTGCTTTTTCCTCTCTGGCAACCTGGCAAGCCGCCTTGCTGGCCAAGATGTTCTCTTCTTTCCGCCTCGGCCGCTTCCTTTTTCCTCCGCTCTGTGACCTACCCTCCTTTGTCGTGCTGTTTGGTTCTCTGGATCTGTTGCATAACAGGACTCCGTTCCCTTCTTGGCCGTGGTTGTCGATCCGAGATGCGTCTCTATGGGGTCCCGAAGTTGGATGCAGTCGGTGAGGCAACGGGTTCGGCAGGGACGGGAGTATCGGTAGACTCGAGAAACCAACTGTACGCACGTAACCTGCAGTCTTGAATCCGTGACTGGTCATTTCTGCCTGGACCTGCCACTTCCACGTTTCTTCTTGTGGGCAGAAAGCTCACAAACTTAGACACGCAGACAATAGAACATGCAGATACGCAAGCGTAGCTGATGCTGGTGCTGGTAATGGCTGGGGCGCGGTGTTCTCGGGTGCAGCTGTGCCTGCTTACTATAGTGAATCTGCACAAACACACCTGCTTGGGATTAGGAAAAACAATAGTAGCCACGCAGCACATCTTGCTTCGCATGGGTCCATGGGATCATACTGCGGAAAGAAGAAGGAAGGCACGTTGAATGCGAAGATCGCGGGTCGTTGAGGCCATGTGCTTCCAAAAAGCAAGGAGCATGAACAAAGGGAAGCAGAGACCAAAGTCTCATTCCCTGTTTGGCTGAGGTACCTTGGTGCGGTACCCAGGTGCGCCAGGCTAGGTAAGGAAGGAGGTATGTACCTTTCCTTCCT